AGCTCTCTTTGCTTTCCCTTCCCCTCCCCGCCGCTCCATCTCTCAGGCACCGTCCCATCTGAAAAGGTCTATTTCCCTTTATCTCTTTTATTTTGCTCCTCATATATATGTTGGATTTCTCATATTAGAGAAACCATATGGTATTTAGGCTTGTGTGTCTGATTTAGTTCACTTAACATGTTTTCAAGGTGCTTCCATTTCCTACAAATGACTTGAATTTACCCTTTGTCACAGCAGACAAGTACTCCACTGTGTGCCGACACGTTTCCTTTGCCCGATTATCTAGTGATGGACATTCAAGGTGCTTCTGAGACTTGGCTATTATGAATGGGGTGCTATAAATACTGGCATGGGTCAGTGTAATGCGGTGTCTTTAAACCTTTCAGGAAGATGCCTATAAGGGGAACAGCTGAGTGGAGCTGTATTTCTAGTTTCAGTTTTCTGAGGCATCCATCCCCAAACTGATTTCCGCAGTGGCTACAGTAGTCTACATTTCCACCAGTGACATGGGAGGGCTCCTTTTCCCCAGCTGCCTCACCAGTATTTGTTGTAAACTGTGCATTTGTTTGTGCAGCACTGGAGACTAAGCCCAGAGCCTCCACCCTGAGATGGGGTCTCACTAAGTTGCTAAGTGGACCAACCAGACTCAAACTTGCAATCCTACTGCCTCAGATTACCACAGTGTTGGGATTACCTGCGTGCCCATCACACCTGGCTTAAGTTGCACACTTTAAATAAATAAGGTTTACTGTATACAAATCAGACCTCAATAAAGTTAACTGAAAAACCCCCTAACTTTCTCATAGGTTCCTTTCGGAATTAAATGGGTAAGATGCTGGGCATGGCAGGGGGCACACGATGAGCTTCTTAATTTATGGAATGGTGTGGTGGCCCCAAGGGGGCTTCCAGAGTTCCCAGAACTGCAACAAGGTCCTTCCAACGTGGCCATGCACAACAGCAGCGAGCGCAGCCTGCTAACGTGACTTACAATGTGTGTGGGCTCCAGCATTCAGCCTCTGCTGTAATGCTGAGAAGCCACTCCCTGAAGCACGGTATTTTTCCATAAGAAGAAAGTGCAATGAAGAGGATTTCAGAGGTTCTTGGAAGGAGCCGGAAGGAGGCCACAACAGTGAGAAAAAGCCTGGAGGACAGTACCAGTGAAGCAGCTGCTCGACAGGATCACGGATTTGTTTGCTTGTGTTTCAATTTGGAAGTTTCTGCCAAAGAACTCTACAATCTTTTTTTCCTTAATTTAATGTTTTCCTATTTAAAATGCAAGTCTCTTGGGTGTTAGAACAAATACATAAGCAACAGGGGACTGAAGCCATGCAAAAAGGACCCGCTCCAGGAGACAGGAAACGACTGGCTGCGTTCTCCCCCCGGGGAGCCACCGCGGACTGGCCGGGTCCACACGCTACAGACTCTCCATCACGCCTCCCCGCCCAGGTCCGACCCGAGGACTGTGCTCCAGGAGTACGATTCCCACACACGCTGCTCCTCACACTTGTGTTCTAACACGCAGGGAGACCCTGCCTACCGGAGTCCTCTGGTGCTTCGCAGCCAACGGCTGGAGCAGCTGACAATCTGTGAGGACAGGCAGGTCGCAAGTGTGGCCGGCAGCTACCAATTCCTGAGCTGCCAGTATAGCAGAAGGCATCCCAGGCACATGTTTCCTACATTAACAGGATCACTGGCAATCAGTGGATGGAGAAGTCTAGAAGCTGAACGGAATTGAGTGGAGGGAACTAAAAGGGAAGATCTAGCAAAAACAAATGAGGCTGGAAAGCAAAGAAAATGCTGAAGAGCATGAGCACGGAGGCTGCTACTCTGACCTTTCGTGACTACTTTTCTTTCCTGAAACCCCTTTGGAAAGAGATACGGCTAAAGTGCTTGTTCACATGACTCACGCCCGTAGGCGGGTCTTTCGTGGCACCACAGCTAAACTTTAGCGTCAAGCCACTCAAAGGCTGAGGCAGGAGGGTCACGTGTTTGAAGTCAGAGCAAGTTAGCAAGACACCACCTCAAAATAAAAAATAAAGACGGTGGGGTCAGGGCTGTAGCTCAGGAGCAGAACACTTGCCTAGCATTGGTTCAACCCATAGCACCATAAAACACTCAAAAGACAAAACTTTTGCATAACACTTTAGTGTCATAAAGACTCACCTGTGCAGTTTATTTAAATTCAGTTCTCTCCCCTAGCTAGAGCTTCAGATTTGCAAACAGCCCAGAAATCTGCATTTTATCCCCTATTCCAGAAATATTTTGCACATGTCCTTCTGATCACCTTATCATTACTGGGTAATCAAGTTCTAAAAATTTAATTCTCTCCCTCTTTGTATGAGTCACAGAGTTGTTGTAAGAAGGTTTTGGGCTGCGGGAGTGCGGCTGGTTCTAGATGCGCCCTCCTGCTGTAACAGCTAGGTAAGTGTTTGTGCTGTTTTCAGACCTCAGGCTGCAGGGAGTGTGCGGCTCTGACTCCTGAGAGAAGGCAAACGAGGAAGAAAGGCTGACAGCCGTCCTGGCTTCCTGCCTAGATGTACTTGCTGGGCAGAGGCATAGAGAATGGAGCCCAAACCAGAGCAGGAAGGCCTTGCTGAAATGAGGAGAGACAGACTGAAGTGGCTAAATTTTGAAAAGCAGAGGATGAGGAACTGGGGATCTATGTGAAGGAGCCAAAACCCCAGACTGCCACTGTAGGCAAAACAGCACAGGACAAAGAATTCCAATAGGAAACGCAGACACTGAGCCGTACTTAAAAGCAGTCGTGGGGGAAGGAAACACTGCACACAGGGGAACGGAAACAAGAATGACTACTGACTTCTCACCAAAAACAGTGTAGGACAGGAAACAGTGACTTACCTCAAGGGCTAAAAGAAAATTATTAGCATAGAATTCTATGTCTGCTGAAAAGTGAAGACTTTCAAACAAATAAGAAAAAGAGATTTTGCTGCTAGAAACGGCTAAACACAGCAGAAGTTCTAGTTGAAGGAAACTGATGCCAGAGAGAAACTACACAAAGGAGTGCCGAGTGTGGTGGCCACAGCCATCTCTAATCCCAGCCCATGAGAGGCTGAGGCAGGAGGATCGGTGTGTGTTCATGGCCAGCCTAGGCTACGCAGTGAGTTTATGACCAGTCTGAACTGCATAGCAAGACTCTGTCTCAACAATACAATACAAAAAAAACAAACTACACAAAGGAATAAGGAATGTGGAAACGGTAAATAAATGGGTAAAAAAAAAAAAAAAAAGCATTAGTAACTGAGGTCTTGTGTGCACTTTCCATATTGGGACCAAACGCTTGAAAAAATAACTTAAAAGAGAAAAGACTGATTGTGGCTCATGGTTTCAGGCCCCGGCTGGTGGGCTCTGTCGCTTTAGGCCTGGAGGAAGAAAGGACCAGAGAAGGGCCAGGGAGTAGAAATAGTCCCAAGGATTGTGTTCCCGTGACCCCTCCTTTATATA